TTAGGGCTTTAGGGTCCAGGGTTTAGGGCTCAGGGTTTGGGTTGCAGCAGTTTCTGTTTCTTGCAGGATGCGCACACCACGAATACCACATTCAAACCCCAAACCCTAACCCCTAGATTCACCACTGTGGTCTTGCCAAACGAGCAAGCTTCGGAATCGTGATGAGGCATGTTCCAGACTCCAATCTGTGTGGGTTTATGGTTTAGGGCTTCGGGGTTTAGGGTTTAGGGTTTAGGACTTCGGGGTTTAGGGTTTGGGCTTCCGGGGTTCAGAACCACGGCTTCTTCAGCCTCCTCGATGTTAGCGCTGAGTGGTCTTGTTTACGAAGAGCAGCACTAGTCCAATGCAGGCTTTTTGAAAATCATTAGTAAGGTTGGCCGGAAGGGGTTTTCCCTGCTTGGATTACAGCATTACGGACGCCAACACTCCAGTTTCATTGTTGGGCCCCTATCCTCAATAAGAGCCCTACAAAAACCTGCAAAACTCTTGCATCACGGGCCTGAACCCCCTAAACCCCGAACACCTAAACTGTAAAACCCCGACAGCCTAAACCCACCAAAACCCCAAATCCCTCACCCCATAAATAAAGCTCCGAAGCCCAACACCCCCAAACCTTAACCCCCCGGAACCTCCGAACCCTAAACCCTAAATCCCAAACCCTGTTAGCTCGATAGAAGATATGACTTTTAACAAGGTTCTGGCCCTATAGACCCTAAACCCTAAACCCTAAACCTACCTACAAACTTCTCCCCTTACTGCGCAGGAAGAAGCAGCTTCCAGGATCTGTTCCTGAAGGCAATCCCTAAACCCTAAACCCTAAACCCTAAACCCTCTAGACCCTAAACCCTAAACCTATAGACCCTATAAACCCTAAACCTATAGACCCTAAACCCAAAGCCCTATAGGCCCTCGACCCCAAACCCTCTAAACCCTAAACCCTAAACCCTATAGACCCTAAACTCTAAACCATACGAGCTGGGAAGGCTTCGAGCTTCCCTTTAATTGAAGGAGCTTGTGGGTTCTCCTTGTAAGGGTTGCTTTAAGGGGGTTTAGGGCTTAGAGTTCAGGGTTTAGGGTTTTAGGGTTTAGGGTTTGGGGTTCGTTAAGTGTACTAGAAGGGGTCCAAAAGGCTTTTTATACGGGTCTGTGTAAGGATTCCTTTAAAAGGGTCCAGAAGGGTGTCTTTTAAAGAAGGGTCCCCTCCCACGTTTCTGTGAAGCTTCCGCTGGTATATGGGATGGGGTTTAGACACTTTCGGGTCTGGGATTCAGGTTTGAGGATTTAAGACTATACCTTAAACCCTAAACCCTAAAGACTCAGGACTGCTCTGATCATTACGCAGCACTTCGGGGCCGCCATGGGTTTGGGCCCTAATGCAGAGGCCTTACTCTTCAGAATAGGGTCTTCGGGGTTCCTTATGATAATTATAGTATAATATACCCCAAACCTAGGGCCCGAGTTGCTCCCTCGAGCG